GGGGGGGGGGGGTAAGTTGACCTACCTATCAGTAGCCTGCCCGCAGTAAACCCTAGAGTCAGTAAACTTCCAGGTAGAAGAGATTATCAAAATATCACTCCAGGTTGGGATCTTAGTAGGATCACCAGTGGTCTACAAGAAATTAAACTTATGCAGGGGACTCAATAAACACTCTCATGCTTTCATTGCAAACATACAGTGGTAGTCGAAATTGAAATCGAAATTCGTCTTTATTGTATTGCTATTATCGCCTATTACTGCAGAATATTAAAGACGACTGTACAATTTTTTGTCTTTGTTTTTTTCTTAAATTCATAGTTTCTTTCGTTTTTTTCATGTTTTTTTTGTTTTTTTTTTTCATAAAGTTTACGAACAAATTCAGATAAAAAGGTATTATTAAGACGAACTTTGCTATTACTAGCAAATTTAGATTTTTGGCCCGAAAAATGAAACACTGTTATTTACTCAAACTTAAATTTGCAAAATCCAAAAGCCCAGATTGTTAAAAATACTAAAGGTTTACACAATCAATTTGCAAAGATAGTAGAGATGTCAACGATAGTGTAACGTAACGTAAAATGTACGTTTTTGTACGTTACGTTACAATAATGTGTAACGTTTGGATATATTATATATAACGTGAACGTTAAACGTTAACGTTATAGGAGCTCATACCTAACGTTAACGTTAAACGTTAACGTTAGAGGAATATACCCCCAACGCTAGCGTTTTCTGGAAATGTAACATTATTTTTCTAATATCTACAACTTTTTTGACCATAACGTCTAGAAATGTGTTGTTTCCATGGGGAGCTTGAAAGTCTAACGTTTGAAAAATTAATTGTGACCTGATTGAATATCGTAACGAAAGGATTTCTATTTCAAAGTTCAACATATAAAAAGTGTAACGTTGTATATCTGAAAAATGCATTACTGTTTATGAAAACGTTTTGAAACGTTTTCCCTTATAGTATAATGAAAAATTCAACGTTGCAGAAATGGGTTATTATTTTGATATTTAGGAAACGAAAGTTTTTTTACAGAGTAAAATTTCAATAATGTAACGGTATAACATTTAAAAAAATGTAATTCTGTAAATCAATTTTTCTCTGAATACTAAATTGATTAGTCTAACGTTAGATATATGTCTGATGAAAATTTTGTTCATAACGTTAAACTATGAGGGCTGAGTTTTAATTTCAAAAGTGTAACAATAATTCTGCCCATCAAAACATTACAAAATGTCTCTTATACTAATGTAAGAGATTCGACTGAAAAGTATGACCGCAAAGACTAATGGTTTTTCATTTCAAGTTTAAAGAAAATGAGTTTATGCCACAAACTCTAGTTTTCATTTAATATATCTTTGCAACCAGATGTCGTAGACCATTAATATTGAAATATACAAAGTTTAAACCATCGGGTTGGAAAGATAAAGGGATTAGTAAATTTGAAAAAAAACTTAGTTCCTTTCTAAAGTGTAAACGAGTTTTTTGTAACATGCTATTAGTGAAAATTCAAATCTTAAAAATGTTTCTTGGACAGTAAAGGTTTTTGATTTGCCACTGTTTAATGAAACCCACTAAAACTCCGGAAAAGGAAGACGAAATTAAGAAATTTTACATTTGCATTTTCTGTTATAACGCAAATGATTTAAAATTGCAAAAAAAATCCACTTATTAATCAATAGATTTTTATGAAACTTTAGAATAGAAAAAAACTGATTTTTTAATCGATTTTTTTTAAAGAAAAAAATGTTAAATAATGTTATTTCGCGTTGTTTGTGTTAGAAAAAATTTAGCACTTGTCTTACTATATTTGATATTTTTTAACCCCAAACATGAACTCTGAAAACATTTTCATTGTGGTTTATAAACTAAAGCTAATGCCGCTTTTTTACTCACTTTGTAAGTAACATAAAAAAACACACAAAAAAACAAAAAATTCGCCACAAATTATAATTTTCTAATCTCTACATCTTTGCAAGCTGGTGTTGTAGACTTTTGATATTTCAAGCTATGACTTCTGTTAGATAAGAATGTCTAAAGGAATTGAGTTGTTCACAAACTAATATTTCTAATCCCTATATCTTTGCTACCCAATGTTGTAGACCTTAGATATTTTAAACTATGAATTCTGTTAGACAGAAGAAAAGGGTCAGTAAGCAGTCTGCATTGCGTAAAAAAAAGAAAAAATTGACCCTAAACTAATCTAAAATAATTTAGAACTACTGCTCCACATGCAAAGGTGGTTTGCTTTGCCGAATTTTAACTCATTTTATGAAGTGTCCCAAAACATGTCTATTTTTAAGCTCGTCAAATACACGATGATAATTTCAAGTAATCCTCCATTTAAAGAGGGCCATGCTCAATTCCCAATGATAACGTGTATCTGATTGATGGTTTGAAAATTAGGAGCGTTTTCCAATCTTGCACATTAAGGGTGATTGATTTGTGACTTTTTTTAGAAATCAGCCAGCCACCCACCTGAGGTCGCTTTAAATTAAAAAAATATTGAAATAAAAAAAATTCAAAATCGTCCATGAGGTTGCGAATTGACAATTTAATATTGGAGAAATCGCCGTAAGGCCTAAAAGGAAATATTTCAAAAAATAAATATGATACATAATTTTCTTGGAAATTTCATGCTGAATTCAGATTCGAAAACCATTTTTAAATATATTAAAATTTAAAGAAGTTATGACCAAATAACAGTGCTATATTCCGGTTTTTTAACTTTTTAATGCTATGAGTTTTTTAGCTCTAACTCACTCAATTTTCAATTTTTTAAACGCTTTTAAGATTTGAATTCAGCATTGAAATTCCAAGAAAATGATGTATAGCATGAAAAATAAAAAATAAAATTTTTTTTATGGCCTTACGGTCAAATCGCAACCCTATGGACGATTTTGAAATATTTTTTATTGCAATATTTTTTAAAAGTTAAATCGCAGCGACTTCCGGTGGGCAGTTGGCTCTATTCCAATTTTGATCACCCCTACTAATAACCTGA